CAAAAAAACCCCCTAAACCTATATATATATATATATATATATTCCCATCATGTTCACTATTGTTCATTTTTCATGCTCACTTACTATCGAAATCCGTTGATGCACACATTGACCGTCGACGAATGGTTGGGAAGCGCAGAATGTGACCACGCTGTGGAAGTTTGGCGCAATATTTTAAAAGTTGCGCATATTGAGATGATGTTACCTTCGGTAGCACGAAATCTGCAATCCCTATTGTTTATCCATGGTACAGGAAATCAGGATGTGTAATTATTATTTTTAAATTTATTTCTCAATATAGCATTTTTAATATTACCTTTAATATTTTGTTCCTAATCAACATATTTTTTTGCAAGTCATGGGAAAAAACATTGAACGCGTTTATGTATTTCGATACTTCAATAAAGTGCTATTCAAATACTTATAAATTGACAAAGTGAAATGTCATAAAACTTTCAAACGTTAATGTCCGAGAAATTCCATAACTTCTATGAATAAAATTAACAAATAATTGAATAAATAAATGGTGATATTGATATCGCAATAATGGAGAAATAATCTAAAATAATGCCGAACTAAAAAAGAAATATTACTATTTTCTTTTGATGGATGTAATGAAACATTTGATGATGCAGTGCTCGTACGTGATTCGAGAAGATCAAAATTTCTCAAAAAGTATGACATTTTCTCGTCGCCAAAATCAGCTGCCTGCTTACATTTTGTTAGAATACATAATTGATTTCATTACATTATTAGCTAGCATAATGTTTTCATCGGCTTCTTTCAATGTCTTTGAAGTTTGCCATCCTGAAGCAAAAAAAAAAAAAAAAACAAATTGAAAGCTATAAATTGAACAGCACACAACAATAGTAGCGATTTTATCTTTTAACTTATACACAACAAACAACAGTAACGATTTTATCTTTTAATTTATTTTTATATTTATATTTTCCACCATGATATTTGCCAAATTAGCAATCTTTGAAGGGTTAACTAGAAGTTTTTGAAAGATCTAACTAATGGTCCTTGAAGGTCTAATTAGCAGCTTTCAAACGGTCTAATTAGTGGATTTCGAACGGTCTAGTAGCAGTCGTTCAACTTCCTCAACTACCATATTTTATTTTTTGATTATAATTCGATAATACAAAATAATATCAGCATATACGGTCAACATGAATCAACAAACACTGAATTATTTTAAATAAATGGAAAGGGATGAAAGGAATTCGGTGGGATTTGTACCATTGAAGGAAATAGCAATCAGGTCTACCTTATGGCTATTTCTGTTGGTCAACAGAGTTATGAATTGGTTGAACCAGTGACAATGACCACAAAATAATTAGTATCAGGAATAATGCAAATTTATTACAAAGAGAAAGGTTAAATTAGAGAGAAAATACGACAGGCAGAGCAATTTAAGAAACAAAATAGGAATGGAAGGTCAACAATACATTTAATAAATGGTTTCGATGCATTTCATTTTCCGCAGAAATTTCATTTTATATATGTATTGGAAGTGGTGTTACATTTCCCAATTTAGATCAATTCGCAGTTGATGGAAAATTTTCATAAACATAATTGGCAATACTGATTGGCTTTTCATTGATTCAAAAGTTAGTATTGTTTAATCCGGATAAGAAATAGAACTATGTATCATACATTCGATAAAGTGTTAACTGAATGAATGTCATCAGATGAAATATAAGAAGCGTTCATAACTTGCAGTAAGTTACGTCAATCGCTGTGGAACCAATTTGTTAGTACATCAGTATGATAAGGTAAGAGTTATGTATGAATGATGAATTGTTGAAATACCGATTAAAAAAAAGCAGTATTTTGGGGACAGAAAAAGTTTGGAAATGAAGTGCTTTTTTTTGAGACGTAGAGGTGAGAGAAAACATTGGAAATCCCAGATCATTTTACGAAACAGTATCGTTCTGCCATATGATGATTATAAATTTAAAGCAGAATTTTTTTTCATATTTCATTAAAATTTAAACATCCATTTTCAACCATTTTATGCTTGAAAATATGATTAAAAAAAGATAAATATTTCTGAAAATGGAAAGAAGTAAGAGATAGCAAATTTTCGCATAAATGTACTGAAAAAAAAAGAAAAAATTAAACAAAATATTTAAATCGATGGAAAAATGGAAAGTAATGTGTGAAGGAATGCTTGCTATCATTTTTAGTTATCATATCTTTTTAGTTTCACAAATTTTTAATACTTCCAACATACATAATGAACACGATAAAGTTTTATGAGTGCGAAATTTTGAAAAAATATTCTCAATTGTTTGATGAAACGATAGAGAAAGAATTGGATTAGCTCTGTTGTAAATTAAAAGCAAACCTTTTCCATATACAGCCATTTGTATGATGATAAAAATGATCGTAAATTTTGTTAAGGAAACGTACCAATCAGCTTATCACCTTATCAGCTTATCAGCATATCAGCTTATCAGCGTCATCTTCTGCAAACACCAAAGTGAAAGAAATTTAACGCATGGATGCTTTGATGCAAAGGCGAAATACGTTTTTATATTTTACAAAAATTGGTGGAGAAAAAAAAACAAACAAACATACAATGACCCGTTTTCATCCACACTCCAATAATAAACGCACTCCTTCCTTCTCATTACATGCATTTCAATTAAAAGTGTAAATCGAAATGTTGCGTGAGTCCTTGTGTCATCTGCTTATGTGTGTGTGTCTGTGTCTGTCCGTGTATGTGTGTGTGTGTGTGTTGTGCATGCATATGTATGCATGTCTGTCTTTAGATTTTAACAAACTGAGGAAACCAGTGAAAAAGTGAATTTTTTCTCATCCCTCATTGAATACTCGATTATATTATTGTATGATATCATACAGTTACGGATAATATTCATAGTAATGATTTAGAAGGAAAAGGAAGAATTTCCTTATTTATTAATCAGAGCGAAAAATATCGATATTTCCATTAAGGAATAATAATGACCAAAAAAGGATAGGGATGTGACATACACATACAGACACAGATACAGACACACACAGACATACACACATATACAGACACGAAATCTATGTATGTTTGAGAGAGGACTAAGTTAGACATTCATATTCATGCAAGAAGCAATAAGAGCTATATCAGCATTTCTCCCATTCTATTCCTTCTTCATGCAACTGGCTCTATTCAATGGACAACCGATGACCACATCCAATAAGTGGGGGAAGATAGCATCAACAGCTGGAGCAAGCATCAATTCTCCCCTCCCTCTTCCCCCCCCTGCCGAGAGACGATCGTAGCAATATGAAGCTTTAGAGGGGACAAAGTCCCATCTCTCATCATGGCTTTCCCATTATCGATTCACACTTATCAGGCAATCTTAAAACGTCATACTTCTCTTCTTGCCATACTTGAAATCGATTAATTAAAATAGATTTATCAGTTGTTTGAAATTTAATTTTTAGATAAACGCTCTTCGTATTAATTATTTGTGCTAGTTTGTTCAATTAAATGAAAAAATAAAACAAAATAAAAAAGAAATTCTTACAGGAAGAATATTTGTTAGTGAGTTTTTGAAAGATTACACTGTTGAATAAGAAATGTTCATATTTCTTTTGGAATGCCATGGAAAATGTTATAATGGAATCAATAAGCGTAGAAAAAATGATAATGTCTATGAAATATGAGGATAATTTTTAGCAAAAATAAGAGAAAAATGTATATGTGATAAGATAATCTATCATTAAGTGATTATTGCAAGCAAATTGGACCTCTGTTCTCTGGGCTTCTGGGCCAATTCCATCTTTCTTATAAAACTAGCAACTAGATACAAAAAATTCGGCTTGGAAGACTGATAGCATATAACTGCTATGAAGTTATCGCTTCCTTATTACTCTATAATATTAGACATTAGTGGAACTTAATCCTATTCATGTGAATCAAACCAAGATCACATGATTCAACATTGACCTAGCCAGCTACAATCTATGTATACAGTTTGTTCATATACCAAATATTTTAATGGTCCACCATACTAATTAGAAAGTACTAGCCTTTGCTTCATTTCGTTGAAATTTGTACAACTGATACGTTAGCAATGAACGAATGATTATAAAACAAAGAAACTTTTGAATTGAAATTGAAAATTATTTTTAAAGTTAAAATCATTATATGTGTTGTTAAAAGATTAAACCTTGCTGTAATTAACTCCCATTAAGTCGACTTCCACACTTCGGAAAATCTTAGATGCCCAGTGAGAAAGAAATTCTATGTGAATTATTTTGTTCTCAATTTTAGGTCATCTGTACTACATTATTTTAAATTTTGTGCTGGCAAGGTATTTGTGCACTGGAGACTCAAGTTACCCAATTAATTTATTATGATGATTTAAAGCTTTTTCTTTTTACCGCATTACCTGATAAATTGTAGCTCGATTTTTTTAACCAGAGGTGAAGTCAAATTAATCTAAAATTTGACTTCCTATTCAAACAGCGATTGCATCCATCGTTTAGTCATAAGTTGGTAAATTGTTAAAATTGCTTTGTTAATCGAAATTCTCGCTCAATTTACAATTTGTAGTTGCTTTTCGCGCTTAATTTGTAGTTTTTAATTTACAATTTGTAGTAATTTGTAGCGAATTTACAATTTGTAATTTGCAATAGAAAGTATCAAAAAATGTCAAGATGTTTCTCCAACATTTTCCTGCGACTTTATAGCATCAGTATTGGTAATTAAACTAGTAATTCGCTGCTCAAACCGTAAATTTGTCCTTTACAAAGCATTTAATCACTTAAGTTTGTGTAGCAACAAAATAGAGAATCTGAAAAACATATGGCTTTGATAAAGTAAAAAATCCTTGTAAATTCATTTCAATGATATTGTCAGAACGAAACCAGTAATAAAAATTAAGTATAAAAAATCCTGATAAGATCAGGCTCATTCCATGTGCTTCATTCCAGAATTCCATAATCCATATATATATATATATATATATATATATATATATATATATATATATATATATAT